CTCTCTCTCTCTCCCTCTCTCGCTCCTCCTGAGGATTATCATATGGATCCTGATATAGGCCCTGCGACAACAGGCGGTTGTGTGAACCCTCAACTCGAAACCCTGAAGTTAGCATCCTCACCCTGAATCTTCAACCTGCGGCCAGGATGGGCTTAGGGTGGTTGCGTGCAGGCACCGTTCTGCTTCGAACAGACTCGGAATGCGGTTTAAAACACTGGTAGCTATAAGTCGGGTTAAAAGTCCCTTCAAGTGGGCCTAGTTCTAGTTATCCGACTCGGAGACCCACTTATCACTACCCACACCTCCAATTACATTGAACTTGGGCCTCTCGACTGAAGCTCAGCACTCACTTGGCTAGCTCGTGGACCTTTATCAGCACGGCCTTTCTTCCCGCGTTGAGGAAACAAGTCTCGGGACTTGAATTCAGGGTTTTGTAGTGCAACATTCTTTTTGTGTTTATATATACGAATAATAATAGTATAATAATATAACAATAAAATAATAACAGTAATTGTAATAACGATAATAGTCATAGTATGTTATAGTATACAAAATAACAGTATACTAATACAACAATAAAGATAGTAACAATAATAGTAATAACAGTAACTATAATGGTCATAGTATGTTATAGTATACAACCCCTGATGCACAGCGACACCCTTTGAAGATGGCACGGCAGAGCGAGAGAGAGAACCACCCCAAAAACGAACGTGATTATTATTACTATTATTATCATTTATTATTTTTTTGAGTCTGGCATATTACTTATGCTTGCGTCGCCGTCGTCGTCGGGTAGCTCTCGTCAGCATTGTGTTCAGGGTTTTGGTGTTGGGGTTGGGGCTTGGGCTTTGTGTTTAGAGATAACATCAAGGCCTAAATAACTACCTGTACGTGTGAGTCCTCCGGGTTTCTGATTATTCTCATACTATTCCCAAACGCCCTATTCTCATTGTTAAGGCCCCTNNTGTATATATATATGTATGTATGTGTATATATATATATATATATGCATACCTACATATAATATCCATCCATCCATCCATCCATCCATCCATCCGTCCGTCCGTCCGTTCGTCCATCCATCCATCCATCCATCCATCCATCCATCCATCCATCCATCCATCCATCCATCCATCCATCCATAAAGTGATTGATCTGCCAATCCCTGGGCTCCTCGTGCAAAGGGCTTGTGGTGTGTGGTCGCGCCGTGTCCAACATAGGTGCTTGAATATTTCCAACAGGATATCGTGGGTTATACTTTTATGTTATACTATGTACAAGCGGGAGAGCACTTTCAGGTCTATCTAGGGTTGGGGGAACTGTAAGACGCTACATGCGTAGCTAGCATCTGGGCTTGTCACGAGTACAGTCTTATTGTTGTGGTGTTACAGGGCCTCTAAAGCAAATCATACTTCGATCCCGACTTGTAGCCCCCCAGACCCCTGCAAAATACTAGGTTCTGGCCCCTTAAAATTATAGGGTATATAGTATGGCCCTTAAAACTGTAGGCTACGGGATCTTCGGTCAACCCTAAACCGCAGCGCACGTGTCTGGAAGCTGGATCAAGCTGGAGACATTCTCGCAGCCTCAACGAGGGAGTGTGCAGATGCCGAGGACACCTGCGGGTTCCGGGAGTTGCACGGCTTGTGGGCTGGAAAATATCTGTCTGTGTAGGGTTTGGGGAGTTTTGTTTGAGGGTGCCCAGCAGCTGAGCCACATCATTTGGATTCCTGTGCTTGGGATTTATACAGGGGCCTGAAGTACAGCGAATATTATTCCTAAGCGTTCCTTAGACAATTATGGCATCGAGCACCCGAAAGCATTTTCGAAACAGGGCCATTCAGAATCCCCTATAACCCACCACACACACCCGACCTTGGTAATGCAAGCGTTTTAAAATCCCACCTTAGCTTATCAAGTCTATTTAACCTATTTCCTTGTAGGTGCCCCAGAAGATCTGTATGACGATGTATATTAGGACTCTGCCAAAAAGTGTGTTGTTATAGGTAACGGTCGAATTTAGAATTTCCAGTTGCTGCAGCTCTGCTCCAGGATTGGCAAAGATTTCCCGTACTCGGACAAGGAGGTTTGGGTGCGATTTGGGCAGGGGGGCTTTTCTTCATGAAGCGACTGAACTACCGGAAGTTTGAGCTTCTTCGTGTTTATGTCTTTCTTATGGAATGCGCTTTCACGTTCAGTGAGGGAAGTGTGCGCCACCTCTTGATGTTTCCAGGTCTTGGATCTTGCCAAGAACTTTCCGACGCCGTTCCATATCTACCATGAGGACAGGGATTAGTGTTGAGGCCCGTTGCAAAGGGCTTCAGGGCTGATTAAGCCCTAAACCCTAAACCCTGAACCCTAACCGTGTAAGGATGTAGAGGGTTTGGGGCTTGTCGGCTTGTAGGATTCATGGAGGTGTAGGGTGTGAGGTCACCAAACCTAAACACTAAGCCCATAAAGGCCAGGCGGAAGGCAGAATAAGTAGCCCCAAAGCATAGTTAACCCAATGTCCTCAGAATGTGAGAGACGCAGTTCAAACTTCATGGATTTTCTACTTAATAATGAAGTTGTCAGTAGGTTAGACTCGTTTCGATTCGGTTAGATAGACAGAAGGTCAACCAGATAAAAGGTAGGTTAGATACATACGACTGTCAGACAGACAGATAGATAGATAGATATGTATCGGCCCAAGGTTTGGGGTGTCAAGCACTTAGGCTTTAGGGTTTAGGGAAAAGTGTTTCAGGTAAGGGTCGTGTTCTGGCAGCCAGCCAGCACAGTTTCAAAAAGCAGGTTTAGTGCTGTGGACATGATGTAGGGCGGTTCTGGATTTCGTGTTTAGCTACTTATTGGGGCTTAAGTGGCCGCATAGATGTAAACATCTCAAAGCTGGCGTTGTTTTCTGGGTTCCTTGTGACCCACATGCAGTCGATTATAAGTTTTATCTTTCGGGCCCTTAGCAATGATATCCGCCTCAAGGCACTTTCCGCGGTTGGGCTTAAGACTTCATGGTTAAGGGTTCATGATTTCGAGCTTTAGTATTTAGGGCTCTAGGGCTTCGCAGAGCCTGACAGAATCAGCCCAGGGTGTCCTTGTGTGTTGGCCGGAGTGCCGGTCTTAGATTCTGCCTGTCTATTGGACTTTCGGAGTCGTTTAATCACTATTAGAAGAAAGGAACAATACTCCGAAACCTTCCGGGGCTTGAATTGCGAAGGCCACGGATTGCAAACAGGAATCTTGCCGGGGCGCTTGGGTTTCCGGTTGCCAAGAATGTTCTTTGTGCAGCCGTGGGCTAAGGTTGTAGGACACTGAGGGTTAAGGGTTTGGGGTTTCAAAGTCTGCTGCGCTTTGTCGTTTGAGGTCTGCCTCTTGAGGAAGTTATGACGGCACCAGCGAGACAACCTGCAGTTGGCAGGGTTGTTTCCTGCAGGAGAAACCGGGCCCTTGGGTATGAAGCCCTTTAGCGCCCCAGCTTGCGAAATTCAGCGCGCATCACTGGAAGTCCCCCTCTGTCTCTTGGGGCCCGGACTCTAGAGTCGTTCGCACTAAGTCACTAAGCCATTTCAGAAGCCGTTCTGAGGCACATTATACATGTAGTGAGAGCCTTGGACCTGGCTGTCTTTGAACTGCAGACGTTGGCTTCAGCACGTCTGAATACCGTCAAGGGCCCACGCCCAGCAATCGGTCTTGTCACCAGTGTGATGATGCAGACGCTGCAAGTGCAGAGCGACATGACGATTCCTCGATGGCCGCTGCCAGAGCAGTCTCTTGTCTTCGCAGTCCGTCAGAGTAGGTATGAAGGCTATATATATATATATATATACATACATAATTATATATATATATATATCTATATATATATATACACACACCTACTACTAGGGGCCATCTACCCCCATTTAGATTCGCGAAGCTGGGCTTAGGGCCTGGGCTCTTGTACGCCCGACTGTTCACACAGTAGTTAACCAGGGAAGGTCCGGGTTGAATCGGGGACCATACCTATAGTCTCCACTGGAGTTCCTTTTTTTGGTTTAACCAACTTTGTATTAAGGATCCTAAAAGGTAACCCCAAAAAGGAACTACCATGGAGACTATAGGTAGTGTTCGGGTTGAGGGAGTCTTTATGGAAGCTAATGTTCTTCATTGTCATCGTCACCTTTAGCTGGCTCTGTGTTTGCAACAATCTCTGTTTACAACAAGGGAGACCATGTTCGTTTTCAGACGGCGGCCCATGATCAAGTTTCTGCATCACATGATTTATCACTATAACTAGTAACCTCACAAGCTTTGTTAAGGTCCGGCATCAGAGTTTACGGTCGGAAGGACCCTAGAGACTGAGAGAGCTAGTTGTTTCGAGACTGAACTCGCGCAGAGCAAGGTTATGGACTAGAGTGGAACCTGGCTTGGCGCCTTTTGGCGACATGACGTCTGTGGAATGGCTCATGCCAACCCAGCCTCCTGGATGCGTATGGACTGTTGATCATTCGTTCCAGGGTTCTGTCAACAAACCCGGGAGATCTGATGTATGTGTTCTTGCGCAAGGCTCCCCCAACTTGTCAGAATAATCCTTTTGCCACCGTGCGAACACAGTTGCCCTGGCTCTTAAAAAATCCCCAAACCCCTCATCAGCCTACGACGAGAACCCACCAAAACAAGAAGCCAATCCAAGACCCTGAAACCTTATAAACCCTAAACCCTGAACCCTCCCTAAACCCCAGTGTGCATGAAGGCTCCAAGTTGAAAGCCTGGGACCCGCTTCGGCTATGGGACTGAAGGCGCGGCAGACGGGCCGTGGGGCACTTGTCTTCGTCTCAGGGATCCACGCTGGGGTTCTTGGCCGAACCCATATGCTTCCTCTGTAAACCGCCCCCCCCTTCCCAATACCCACTCGTTACGAGGAATCCCTTAGAACCCAGAAGATCCTTGAAAAGGCGCCCTCATAAGGAAGCTTCAAGTTCAATATCCCCAGACCTTAAACCCTAGGGTTTTTCGGGACATGAGAGGGCACTAGAGTAGAGCTGACAAGGCCACATGTGCTTTCCCTGCGAACTATGACCATCCTCGCCTGCACTGCCCGAGTTGTGAGAGTCCAAACCCTAGACCCTAAAGCTTCAAGCTGAAAATCCTTAGACCGTATATCCTTAAACCCTAAACCCTAAACCCTAAACCTTAAACCCTAAACCCTAAACCCTAAACCTTAAAGCTTCAAGTTGAAAAGCCCTAAACCCCGAGAGAGGTACCAGCGACGTTCCGGCCCCCGCCGGGCTTGGAGCCTCGACGAAGACTTGAAGACGTCAGCGTTTGTAGGGGTTTCAAATTTGGGCTAAGAAGGGTTTATAAGGGTCGTAATTTTGGGGTTTAAGGGCTTGTAGGGGTTTCAAATTTGGGCTAAGAAGGGTTTATAAGGGTCGTAATTTTGGGCTTAAGGGTTTATAGGGGTTTTAGTCCCTTCACGAGGGGGCACCCCATCAGGCTTGGTGAAACCAAGAAAGAGAGAGAGAGAGAGAGAGAGAGAGAGAGAGAAAGAGAGAGAGAGAGAGAGCGAGAGCGAGAGAGAGACCGAAAGTATGTGTGTATATATATATATATGTATATATGCATATACATATGTGTATATACATAGAGTGTTTCAGACCAGGTGAGATTAATTAGCAGTAGCACACTTCTGAAGACCAGGCTGCTGACGGATCTAAGAGTGACCTATGTAGAACGTACTCCGTGCTCCTACCGTGCTCTTGCATATTATGGTTGGCCCAATGGTTGGCCTTGGCGTTCCTCGATGAAGCATTCAAGTCAGAAGACCACGATCCCGTAAACAAGCTGGCCTTCGTAACGAAGCAGGTTTAATGTAGGGGCGTGAAGAATTACCAATACTATTTTGGGAGTTCCAATCATAGTTATAGTATAACCCCAAAAAACCCTATTCCAATTATGAAGGCCCCTAAACCCTAAACCCTAAACCCTAAACCCTAACCCTATCTTAGGGTTTAAGGGAGTTTAGGGTTTCGGGCTATCAAGGCCAGAGATTTGGGGTGGATGTTTTCTTGGTAGTATCCCATGAAAACACAAACAAAACTCTCAGAAATATTCAGAAGGAGCCCCTACATACAGTCGCCAACACGGCAATAAACTCTACTCCTTCTATGCTTCTGGTGCCGTCACATGCCGACCACGCCGCAGGCTCTAGCTGAGGTTTGATTGAATGCTTCGGTTTACGGTTTAGGGTATAGGATTCAGGGTTTAGGGCCTGGGATTCAGGGTGTGGACTCTCGCGACTCGAACGATGGTCGAAGTGTGGCCTATAGGGTCGGCATCAGCTGTAACGGTAGCCTCTCTCCAACCACCATCCACATCAGGGTTTAGGGTTTCGCGTTTAGTACAGGACCAGAGAACGAAGTAAGCAGGGTACAAGTAAGCCGAGTTTACCTACAGTGCCCATATCGCCAAGTAAACCAAGCATAACCCTACGTAAAACTACCCGCGAATCTTCAAACGGCATGACAGACCTGCGTAACAAACCCGTACACGTATGGGAGAGATGCACTACTGTGAGCAGTCCTGAGTCCTGAGTGAGCTACTCCGAAAAGCAGCGCTCGGATGCCCAGTAGAGTCCCAGATGTCCCCATTCATGCCGACAAGACCAGCACCTCGGCTTCGGCGTGGAACTCCAAGCCCCAAATTATGAGGCCAGCCTTGAGACCTTAAATCCTTAAACCCATAAAGCCCCGAACCCTAAAGCAAAGTTTAAACTCCAAAGAAAGCCGAAGTTTAAAGCCCAAACCATCCCAACTTCGCGGTTCAGGGTTGAACTGAGATCAAAACACCCTGAAAGAGGGTGTTAAAACCTTCATAGAACCCTTAAAACTGCTATAAGACTTTTATCAAGACCCCTAAACCGCCAGGTACCTACTATATAGGGTACTAGAGCCCCTAGGGCCCTATATAGCAAGTACCTGGAGGGTTAGGGGACCTTCATGATTCCGAGGAAGTGGAATCTCCCACGACGAGTTCAGTTGTGGAGGGAGACATCTCGATCCCCTGGTGCCCTTCTCAACATTTGGGTCTTCCTTGTTTCGTGGCCCCTTTTGTAATGATCCTACTAGTCAGGATGTTGCGCGGGCCGGCCTCCCAACCGTGAATTTGTCCAGAAAGTTTTACATCGTTTTCGAAGGCGTTAGCAGGATGTTGTTTGGGGTTTTAAGGTTTCCAGAGAGCCCAATCCTTTGTAAGGAAGGAGTACATCGCAAGAAGGTCAGCGTTCGCTCTCCAGTCCAAAGTATATCCCTCAGTTCCGGAGTATTTGGTTCTTTGGGCAGTGCGCGAAGCCGAAGTAAGCACCCAAACATTCGAAGTCCTCCGTCGGGTATATTGTGAAATCCCATAAAACCAGCATTACTTCAATTTGAGGGGTTTATAAGGATTTTATAGGGTTGGTCCGAACCCTGAACGCTCCTTAGTGCTAACGTCCGACTGTGTTTGCGCGGCGCCTAGCTACAGAGGCTGCTGGCTTCGTGGATTTCTGCGTATTATGCAGTGTTGAGGCAGATTCAGATTTGGCGTTTCTCGGGAACTCTGGCGTGTTGGCTACGGTTGGTTTGGTGTTTGGGGATATTGATCATTGGCTTCGATGTTTTCTGGTGGCTGCCGAGGTTAAGCTAGTCCTTTGGGGCTAAGGAAGTTTTGAATTCAGGAGTTTGGGTTTATACCCATAGGCCCCATGGGAGTTCCTTTCTGGGATTATGTTTTAGGATTCTAAATATGAACCCCCAAAAGGAACCACGATGGGGCCGATGGGCAGTTGCAAAGTTACCCCTCAACCCTAATTACGTTCCTCAAGAAGTGCCCTGGGGAGCGGTCCTGCTTTGTCCGATGCGCATGTGCGCATGTTCCAGAAAATCTCAGCTTGGAGTTGGGTCCAGGGCCATAAGCGTAGATGTTCAGCATGAGCCCTCAACCCCAAACTCTAAACCCCCTAAACCCCGAAGCCTCAACCCGAAATCCCAAGCTCTAAACACCCAGAATCCAGAACCCTCAACCCCAAGCAAAAAGCAGTTTTTGGTCCAGGTTCGGGAGTCGAGGACACCCACTCGCTTGCAGCCGACCTTGTGTCTACATGAAGAAGTCGGGAGGTTTCCATATGTTTGGGTTGGGGTTCAGGGCCTATAAGCTTGGGTTAGAGTTGAGGTTTCTAGAAGTTTGGGTTAGGCTTTAGGGTGTTCCTTTAGGGTTGGGTTTACTGAGGGCTTAAGCTTTAGGATTTAGGGCTTTCTCCGTGTGCTCAGACCTTTCAGGCACTTGCACAAGTCCTGGACAAGCTTATTTGGGTCCCTAAACCCTATAAAACCTACTAAACCCTAAACCCTAGACCCTGTAAAGCCTGAAACCCAAAACCCTAAACCCCCAGAACTCACGACACTCTACGAGTTTCAGGGCCAGCTTCGGGTTCTAAGTATTTTAGGGTTCAGGGTTTAGGGTTTGGGGGTTTAGGGTTTTAGGCGTGTGGTTTCCACACGGTTCTTTCCAAACGTTGCTGTCGAGGTATGGTATAGTGGCCTCACTGGGTTCAGTGGTATATGGTACTACCGGTGTGTCAAAGGTGCTGAAGAGGAAAGCCACAACTCATTGTTCATACCCCCTAGCTCTTTAGTGCTTTTGTGCGTTTAGGGTTTGGGGGTTGAGGGCTTAGAGTTATAGAGTCTTTATCCAGAAGGTGAACGCCAAGTCGGGTTCGATATACTACTACTACTACTACTACTACTACTACTACTGCTACTGCTACTGCTACTACTGCTACTACTACTCCTGCTACTACTACTCCTGCTACTACGCCTGCTACTACTACTACTACTACTACTACTACTCCTACTACTCCTGCTACTACTACTGCTACTACTACTACTACTACTACTACTACTACTACTAGGCGTTCTGTAAGGGTACCTTGTGTTTGTGGATCCTGGATGCCAATATCTCGGGCTTAGAGCTTTGCGAGGGGTCTAAGATGCTCGTGAAGTCTCCTAGAGTATCGTGCTAGAGCAGTTCCTTAGAGGTTCTACAATCTATTCTAGAAGGGCCCTGGGGCAGATTTATGTGGAGTCTTTGGCATTTTGGGTTTTCCAGCTTTATTGCTGGCTTAGGGTTAATTGTTCATTTGGGGGGCTTTTGGGAAGGGCGCTGTGTAATCGAAACCGAAACGCACCAAACTACATTCCACAACTACCTGTGCTCTCCAGTGGAGTCCTTTATTTGCTCTACCAGTTGAATTTTCCTCAAGACAGAATAAACTCTCAGAGCCGAGATTCCAAACCCTCAACCATTAGCCTGAGGCTGTAAACCTTAAATTATCGGCCGCAAGCTCCCTGCACCCAGCAAACTCATAAGAGTTGTAGTAAAACGAACAGTACTAATACAAAGCCCTAAACCCTAAACCCCATAACCTTAAGACTTCAATCCCGTGCTATGCCAGGCTGCACGGCAGGAGCCGCATGTACTTTCTGCCACTTCAACCATACGGGGACCAGCATGAAGCCAGTGCCTTGTAGTGGATGATGGGGAGTGTTATGAGGCGGCCTGGGTAGATGCCTGCTTAGTAATATCCCCTAAGCAGTATGCTCCCTTGCATAGATACACCGTAATATACTCAGACCCCCCACTGTGATTATTGAGGCCTCTGCATTGCGACTTCGGGGCTGTTTTGCAGCTGAGGCGTGGGGCGCTTCGGAGTTTATGAGGATTTGGAGTGTTGGTTAGCTGATTTATGTAGGGCCCCCAGCAAAGCACCCGTAAGCAAACTACAGGATATTGATATCCAGTATAACTCCCGTTAGTATGAAGTCCATTAAGGTACGGATTTTGTAAATTGCTTATTCTGATGTCTTTTTTGGGGGAGCCTATTATGGTCTCACGTGGTTGGAGCTTATGAGGTGTAGGAGATCAGGCATCGCTATGCCATCAGCAGAATTACTGATTCATCCCTAAGTAACAGATGCCCAGGATAAGTTGCAGCGCCGGCTTCTGAATGAGATGGCCGAACAGGAGTTGCGACTATGACTTTCTAGGGTGAACGCCTTTTGCGAGATCTTGGTGTCTTAAACGGCTTATGTCTGTGTTCTGTAAGCGGATTGACCCCGCTTGAGCCTTCGTTGGTGAACCCTGAACTACTCAATCTTAGCCCCATTGCAATAACCCTCTAAACCGCCACAAACCCTAAAGTAAGCGAAGGCAGCAAAACGTAACATATGGCTTTCTGAGTTGCGAGGAGTAGTATGGAGGCATACACAATTACCAATACTATTTGCTGAATCCTCATTTATAATGAAAGCATCATATAATACTCCAAGTCCCTATTCTACTTGGTAAGGCCCCTATATCATGAAGCCCTTACAGTAGCCTTCTTATCGAGCCCCCTTCAAAAGGAACCCTAACTTCTAATCCTAAAGGCACCTACATATGCCGACTCTTTTCGATTCAGGAACTAGGGCGCTGCGCTTGAAAGCCTCAGGTGCAGATAGGTTTAGGGTTTGAGAGGAACGAACGGTTCAGGGTTCAGGGGTTAGGGTTTAGGCTAAGTTAAAGAGGTTTAGGGAAACCCTGAACCCTAAACCGTTCATTGTTTACAGGCTTTTTGGGGCTCTACGTAGGGTGGGGGTTGACAAGGTTTACTTGTGGGCCCTCGAAAACCCATCCTTTTTTAAGGATCCTTCCTGTGCTTTCCTTATCTAAGTCCTAAAAAAGGTAGGTGTTGGGGGGTTAAGGTTGAGGATTTTGGTTTTAGGGTTTAGGGATGCAGGGTTTTGGGCCGTTTGTGGGTTTGGTGCTCAGGGTCTGTAGGGCTCAAATATCGACCCGCGGCATGGTTTCTCATACCTCGAAGCCTTAAAACGAAGCGCTCCCAATTTCCTGCACCTAAACCCTAAACCCTTAACCATGAACCCTGAGCCCGGAACCCTAAGCCCAAGAGTTTTGGTCGTGGAACTGATTGGCATCTTCCACCTGGGAAGGACCGCTTGGCCGCTTTTTTGCCCTACATCAAAGACAGAGTCGCCAGCATCTAAAAGCATGGGCTCTAGGGTTTTCACGATAAGGGGTTTTGGGGGTTTGGGGTTTGCAGCTTTGGGAGTGAGTTGTTTAGGTCTTACAGTTTTTGGGTTTAGGGGATCTGGGGTTTGGGGTTTAGGGAGAAGGGTTTTCTTTCCGTTTGAACTTCAATTTTTTCGAGGAAAGGGTTCTAGAAGGGCTTTCTTTGTGATTTGTTGGGACTCCTATGGAGCTTGCAGCGTACTCACGGGAGCGTGAGCTGCAAGGTATATACTGTTCGTTTTTTCTGAGAACCCCAGTTCTATCTACCCAGAAGCCTTCAAGTCGCTGTTGAGACTCAGGGTGTTCGAGGTGTGCCTAAAATTAGAAAGCTCCCATACGTGGTGCCGTTTTATGGTATGTTCGAGACTGTGCTTTAATGGGCTGTATCCGTGGTGGTGGTGGTGGTGGTGGTGGTGGTGGTGGTGGTGGTGGTGGTGGTGGTGGTGGTGGCGGTGGTGGTGGTGTTGTTGGAGGTGGAGGTGGAGGTGGTAGCAGTAGCAGTAGTAGTAGCCGTAGCAGTAGGAGTAGCAGTAGCACTAGTAGTAGTAGTAGTAGTAGTAGTAGTAGTAGAAGTAGTAGTAGTAGTAGTAGTAGTAGTAGTAGTAGTACGGGCAGAGGCATAGGTTTGCCCGCGCCACTCTGAATGCACCCACATCTGACTCTTTTTGGCGTGGTGGGCGCGGTACCTGGGACGTGTCCTCCCAATCGTGTCGCAACCCAACTGTTGCGCGAACGCCCGAGTTGAGGCCCCGAATGGGATCTTCCTTTGCGTCCTGCGTTAGCTTTCTCCCTTAGAACGGCAAGGTTTTAAGGGGAGATTGTGCCGGAGAGCTGCATTGCTGGATTGTGCTTTGTTGTGGTACAAGTTTAGTGCTGGACATGCCTTGTTTTGGGTCCTGGCTGGATTGCAAGGAGAACTTCACTTCAACGGCCGCAAAGGCTTCCGCCGGGACTTACGCGCAGCAAGTAATTCGAAACCTTCTTGCCCAAAATTATTAAACAAAAATGAAAAAGAGAGGTTTTATTGCCATACCCATGTATGCATTTGGAAATTTGACTTCGGCGGCATGCAGGGAGTGCGGCCGCCGAACCTGGCACGTAGTTCTTCAAGCGGAGATAACTGCTGGCGGGAAATGCTGAGACCAGTGTCGTCTGCCTCCGTGGCCGCCTGGCCGCGACCTGGGACAACTGGAAAGCAAAGAAAAGCGCGAAACCGAACTAACGAACCTTGTCCGGGATGAAACCCGAGCTGCACGCAAGGGGGAGGCAAGGCGAAGCGTGCTAAAACAGGAAATAGCACGCTTCGCCTTCCCTCCCGCTTGCGTGCACCGGGTCTCATCCCGGACCAGGTTCGTTAGTTCGGTTTCGCGCTGTTCTTTGCTTCCCAGTCCCCCCAGCTCGCGGCCAGCGGCCACGGAGGCAGACGACACTGGTCTCAGCATTTGCCTCCAGCAGTCATCTCCGCCCGAACAACTACGTGACATCTTCGGAAAAAACAGCATAAAGTCGTCACAGACGGATGCGGTTATCATTAGCTCAGGGACTGAACTGCTGTAAAGAAAGCAGACGATGGCAAGATTTTGACGTCTTGTTCGTGGTTGCGTGCCTTTCAAAAGACCGGCCGACAACAAAGACTGGGTGTTCAGTTCCTGGTTCTTCCGTGGTGCTGAGAAGAGGGCCAACACCAATTCTTCGATACGATTCGTCTCTCACTGCTGTTGCAAAGGCGGCCGGCATCAAGACTCGGATGTCTGATTCGCGCGCTACTGCCGAGAGCAAGACTTCGACTTCGCACTCTTCCGTCTTATGGTTCTCCTGCTGCTGATGCTCCCTGTCAAGTGTGCTTTTTCATCTAACCACAAAAGCGTGGACTCCGGGTTGCATGTGCACATAAAAGTAAAAACACAAAAATTTGTGTATATTTAATTATGCATTCAAATTTGTAGGTATCGTGTCTCTATCTTTATCTACTTGTTGATATATACACTGATATAGGTATATGTATATGTAACCATAACGCAAGTCTCACTGAAGCAAGGAGTTGAGACACAAACTCTGAACCTGAAACCCGAAATGCCGTGGGCAAACCTCTACTCCTGCGCGTAGTAGTAGTAGTAGTAGTAGTAGTAGTAGTAGTAGTGGTAGTAGTAGCAGCAGCAGCAGTCGGGGAGGAGTAGTAGCAGGAAGAACTCCGCTCACAATTTAAGTTTGATCTCTTTGCTGTCCTACACCCAAATGCCGAACCCTGGGCCTTGGGCCATACAAAGAACCTATGCGGTTTAGGGTTTGGGGGTTTAGGGTCCATAACCTTAAGAACTGTATGCGCCACAGAAACTCCATCAGCTCTACCCTGAGCCATACATGCCAAAACTGTACAAACTCTTTAGCCATGAGCTAGCCATGCGCTAGTTTAATGTCTTTCACCTCTAGAGACCTCACCACTTGTGGATCCAAGGGCCTTCGCATCTGAGGGATATAGGGTATAGGGCTTAGGGTTTTACGGCTTAGAGTTCAGGGTTACTGGGTTCAGTCCATAAGCTACTACTTTGTAGATCTGCCTTCGGGCCCGCCTTCTTCCAAGAAGCTCGTCTACACTTTCAAATACAAGGCGTTTACAAACACAAGGAGTCTGGTAAAGAGTTGAAGCCCTAAACTATCCGAAACCTCCACTGAGGTTGCGGAGATCGATCATCCCTTGGCGGATCTCATTGTTGTTTTGCTCGAGGCTCCATTGCAGATGTAATAGTCTATGACCGTTTGTAGGGCTGAGGCTCAGGGTAGAGGGTTTATGGGCTCGGTGCTTCAGGATAGAGGGTTGAGATGGTTACGGCTCAAGTATGGTCTCAAGTACGGGTCAAGGCTCTGGGTAGTTTCTGTACTTCGGGGCCATGGGTACCCGTCTTCCGCAGCAGGTCGTTGCTCCTTCAGGAAGTCCAGAGCCCAAACGTCAGAAGTGTGAAGATGATGCACCTCCTGATCTCGAACTCGATGCTCTTCTTGCACAGCAGGAGGAAGCTAGGGCCCTGACAGATGCTGGCCAGTCGCTCTGCAGAACAGCCTTAACACCAAATCCAACGAAGTCATGGCCTTATGATGACCTTTCACGGGAGGCTCCAAAGACGAGTCCAAGGAACCAGAATGTAACTGTGACTATGATCAGAGGCTCCAAAACCTGGAACGGCTGTTCGCGTTTTCGGGCGCCGTACCTGGAACTGCCTCCTCCGACCCTCCACGCCCTTTTGGACGTATGCCGCCGGCCCGTCCTGTCCTGACTATCATCGGGTATCTCCTCCCGGTCAGACTGGTCCCCCAACCAGGGTTGGCCGGATGGTACTAAGCGAGATGACATTCTTTCTTCGGCCAAAGCCATCCTACGGCTCCACCGCCCGGAAGGCAATCTTGTGGGTAGATCGCTGCAGTTGCGGCCGACACACTCCCATCCCTAATGGCTGAGGACTCTCACAGCGTGATCTCTATCTCCACTGATAGCACTAAACCCGGGCAAACCTTCCACTTCAACATCACCAGGCTCTCGAATCTCACCGGTTCCCAGCAAGACCACATCGAGAAAGGTCTGTTCAGAAGACAGTGATCTCCGTTTCGGCCCTTAATTTCAACGTGTTGACTTCTTGCAAACGTGCACCGGGGAAAGCAGGTGACCGTCGCGTCTGACTTAATCCTGCTGCAAGAAGTCGGTTCGACTGCCGATCTACCTAGTGCCCCGTATAGAGCCACTAGCACTGCAGACCCGGGAGTACGTGAGGTCTCTTTGGGTCTGAAGCATGACCGTTTCCATCGCAGAGTCTTTTGCGGACACAACTTCCCACCTGATTGCCGTTGATTCGGACGTGGTTCAGACAGTTCTCGTCACTCACACTGGTTTGAAATTTCTCGTGGTGGGCAACCGTAATTCACTCGCCAGTTCTGCGCATCTTCCACACAGTGGTGGTAGCCAGGAAGAGTACATACGTGCACGCCATGCTCTTGTATCCTTTATTTCCCGGTATTCTCAGTATGATTGTATCCGTGGTGTAGACTGGAACTGCGAACCACACGGCACGGCGATAGGTCGGATCACCTGCTTATCCCGCCGATAGTATTGGGTGCCATATCTTCCTTCCCCACGGAGCCTACCAGAGTTGGGAGAACGAAGACCCGAAGGCTCGATTTCTTCTTCGTGCATGGCCACTCCTGCAATCTGGAACTTGCAGAGGCAGTCGCTTGAGCGCAGGAGGTCAGGGTCCTTTATGAATCCTCTCAGACGTTGCATTCTGACCACGACTGTGTTCTCCTTGATTTTGCCTTCAGGATCTGCCGGTGCAGTCTTGTTCAGCTTGGCATAATGGCCCATGCCTTCAAGTTGTATGTCCCAGACTGGGCCAAGTCACTTCAGCAGAGGCCAGGCTTGGGTTGCTAGAGATTGGCGATATCTTGTGCATGTCTTGCTGGACGAGGGCTGCACTTCGTCAAAATAGGGAAGGTCGTGCCATCACGTCGGCTAGACGGCTCACTTCGTTCTTCCGATGCGTGCATGGGTCGTAGGAGTCGCTGGCCAACTTGAATAGCAGCCGTGATTAGTGGCGAGGGGCCGTGAGCGAGGTTCTGGCATTTCATGTCCAACCCGACAGTGTGGATATGCCAGCCGTCCACGAAGGGACGTGGCAGAAGTGGTCCCAGCCGCATACGTGCCAGCTGACGTGGTTTCATGCCACTGGCTGTAGACCTGTAGGGTTGAGCTTGATGCCGTGGCTGGATGCCCCCCCATGGTTGGATGCAGATTTCCATTGGGCACCTGGGTTGAGGTACTCACGAAATTACTCGCTCGGCGTAACGTGGTATCGACGACCCCTCCTTTTCTGTCGCCATTGCTGCTGGCTTCTGAAGATGACCCCACGAGTCTGGCGCATGTTATCTCTGCGATGCAACAAATCGACGGTGTGATGGCCCGGTTTTGCTGCTGCTGCTAGTTCCTCAGGAATGGATTGATCGAGTCTTTCACCTTTAGGCCCTTTAGGCCCTTTAGGCTGCAGCTGTATCTCTTGGTCACTATATAGTCCCTGTAGTTCTTCCTTCGGTGTCTGAGCTCCTGCTAGACGGCTGTGCGGCTGACAGAGCTCTGAGTCCGCGAGAGAGAGAGAGAGAGAGAGAGAGAGAGATGCTCGGAGTGTTCTGTCGGTTGAGTGGATTTTGCATGACATGTTCCAATACGATGTTGTCTGGAGCAACGATGTAGGTTCAGGATGATGTGCCAATATGTGCCATTCACTGTGAGAACAGCTTGTCGCACCGCTAAGTGCATCGAGTAACATTGTCGCAGAACAGTGACTGCTCAAACACATGCTGAGTGTACACCGCTACAGGGCTTCTTGGAGAACGTCGTTCTGTTTGACAACGCGGCCGGTCATTGGTAAGGATGACAGCCGTCGGATGTGCTTGCTGGTTGCGGCGTGCAACAACCTGTTGAAAGAGCCGACAGCCGGCTCCGGGGCTAGTGTTGGATCGTCTCTGCCATTGTTGTGCCAGTACTCCGTAGACCGCAACCCGGTGACGTCCACGCAACACGCTTCTGTGAAGTCTCAGGCTCACGTTGTTCGGCGAGCGAAAACGTTCATGCATGCAGTGTATTCGGGCCAGGACATCTATTAACCGCAAACCTAGACCTTGAAAGCACGTTGCTTAAAGTTGAATGAGTAGAACCTAAGCTCAAAGCCCTAAATCGGTGCAGTGTCAGGCCGAGCTTGCGAATCTTCCTGTGCCCACAGACACACGAAGGCGCAGCAAGCTCAAGAAGGTGGGGCTTTGGGGCTTTGGGGTGTTTCTTTGTTTTGGGCTTTCCAGGGTTTCGAGTTTAGGCTTTGCGCTTTGGTCGCGTTTAGGTTTTTTGGAGTTCAGGGTCACAAGGAAGATTTTTGCTGAGACTTACTGAGACGCAGAAGCAGCGAGGAAGGACAACAACAGGCACTGCAGCAGCTGTCACAAGGCTTACCACAAACATATTCAGGAGGTTTTTCTTGCTGTCGTTGGTAGCATCACACACCATCACCAGACACAGCACCATCATCACAAGCATCCTGCTTAATTCCATTGTGCTCACCGTGCAGACAACAGTAGCACTTCTAAGAGGAAAGGCGGTGGTTAAAGTAAGCGGTGCACAACGAAGACATAAAAGTTACGAATCAAGCCTGAAGCAGTAAACCGTCATCAGCCAGTGAACAGACAGAAAAGCAAATCGTCATTACACGTGAGCGCGCAACCCAGCAGCAACATAATCAAGCATCTGCACCGGCATTCCCGCACCCGCAGCGGCAGCAGCACAGCAGCAGCAGCAGCAGCAGCAGCAGCAGCAGCAGCAGCAGCAGCATTCGCAGCAGCATTCGCGGCAGCATGCGCAGCAGCATTCGCAGCAGCGGCAGCGGCAGCGGCAGCGGCAGCGGCAGCGG